AAGGATATGGTTCTGCAGTGCACCAGGAATCACCAGGGACCTCCAGATGCTGCATGCAAAGAATGAGCCTTAACTCCTGCACTATCTCTCTGGCCATCATATTCTTAAATTCAAATAACAAAAAATTGACAATTCCACAATTGCTCTAGTACTTTGAGTTTTTTGGTTTCACTTAATTATTTTATAAGTTAATGGTTTGGTTATAGAACTAAGGAAAATAAAAGGAATATTACCCCACTTTATCATTTACATATTTAATATTTAAGGGAAATAAAATTTATTTTTGCATTATCTTAAGATTTTTTATTTCAAAAGGTGGGGGGGCTGGAGCGCAAGCACAGCAGGTAGGGCGTTTGCCTTGCACGCAGCCGACCTGGGTTCTATTCCCAGCATCCTGAGTGTATGAGCCAGGAGTAAACCCTGCGCATCACCGGGTGTGACTCAAAAAGCAAAAGGAAAAAAAAAGAAAAAAGGATTTTTTTTTTCCCCTAAGTACTCTAGTGCCAAAACTAAAGTTAGTCTGGTGGGGGGAGAGGGGGGAGTTGTAGTGTTGAGGATTGACTCCTCACTCACACAAGTAAGTCTTGACTTAACAAAGGAAAGGCAAGTGTTCTGCCCCTGAGCCAAAACCCCACCCCAATAGTAGTTTGCATCATCTGAGGGACAGTAGACCTCATTGGGTTTATATTATATAATAGTAAGGACCAGAGATAATGCTAGTATTTTTTTTTTTTATTTTGAGAATCAACATGACCGACCCGTGTTCAATTCCTCCTCCCCTCTCGGAGAGCCCGGCAAGCTACTGAGAGTATCTCGCCCGAGGCAAAGCCTGGCAAGCTCCCCATGACGTGACATATTCGATATGCCAAACATAGTAACAGTGAGTCTCACAATGGAGACGTTACTGGGCCCGCTCGAGCAAATCGATGAACAATGGGAGGACAGTGACAGTGAAAAGGCTTAGTTCCTAGCCTTTTTCCCTGAACATATTTTTAATGCGGGTTATACAAGTTTCCTTATACATAGGTTCCCATTTCTTAGAACAAAAAAATTTGACTTAGTTTTTTTCCTGACTTCTTAACTTCGTAAGATTTTGGGAAATGCTGAGATAATAAATTATTAAGATTACCAAATTACTAAAGTTTACATCTTGATTTTACTATTTTAGAATCAGCCCATTTATAGAAGACGATGTGTCTGCCTCAGATGCTAGATTTATTTTTAGGTTTCCTAAAGTCAGTTTTTGTCTTGTTCCTATCAAATCACTTTTATTTATAATTTTAAATCTAAAGCAAAACAAATTCCACACTTCTACTAAAAACTTCAGGAATAGAGTATTTCCTAAATAGATTGTAGACACAGAAGTTCTTCCTAAAGAAGATAATAGTTTTGAGAATTAAGAAGGAGCTCATTGATATTTCACACCACAGAGACTGGCCCACATCCACAAGAACAAAAGCAACCGGTGCTGGCACCAATGTGGCGAGAAAGGGACCCTCCTTCACTGCTGGTGGGAATGCCGATTGGTCCAGCCCTTTTGGAAAACAGTATGGACGATTCTCAAAAAATTAGAAATTGAGCTCCCATTTGACCCAGCAATACCACTCCTGGGAATATATCCCAGAGAGGCAAAAAAGTATAGTCGAAGTGACATCTGCAATTGTTTGTTCATTGCAGTACTCTTTACAATAGCCAGAATCTGGAAAAAATCTGAGTGCCCGAGAACAGATGACTGGTTAAAGAAACTTTGGTACATTTACACAATGGAGTACTATGTAGCTGTTAGAAAAGATGAAGTCATGAAATTTACATACAAGTGGTACTACATGGAAAGTATCATGTTAAGCGAAATGAGTCAGAAAGAGTGGGATAGACACAGAAAGATTGCATTCATCTTGGGGAACATAAAGCAACAAAATGGGAGAGTAACACCCAGGAGTGGCTGAGATTAGTACCAGGAATTTTGCTCCGTGACTTGGAGGCCAGCCACACGTGCTAGGGGAAAAGGAAGCTCAGATAGAGAAGAGAGCACCAAATAAAGGGTGTTGTGAGGATCCTCCCAGGGTGGGAGAAGCATGCTGAAAGTAGACTATAGACCAAACATGATTGCCACTCAATGCCTCTCTTGCAAAACACAGGACCCAAAAGAAGAGAGAAAACTAGGGGGAATGCCCTGCCACAGAGGCAGGGTGGAATGGGGGAGATGGGGGGTGGGAGGGATGCTGGGACCCGTGGTGGTAGAGGATGGGCGCCGGTGGAGGGATGGGTGCTTGATCATTGTATAACTGAAACCCAAGCACAAAAATTTGTAAGTCTATAACTGTACCTCATGGTGTTTCACTAATAAAAAAAAATTTTTAAAAAAGGAGCTCATTAAGAGTCAAGAAAATGGGTAATTAACTGCGATGAGTTACGTTGAAAACTTTCTAGGTGATAGAAGTGTTTTAAGTCTTGGGCTGTATTTGTGGTTATGTGGTTATAAGAATATGAGGTATGCAACACATGCCAAAACTCATTAGCTGTAATGCTCATAATTTGTCTTACTGAATTTCAAGTATTCCTAGATAAAACTAAAAAAATATTTTTAACAAGTAGTGTGTAAACAAATTCTTGGGGTTCCCTGACAAAGCAGAGGATAGGAAGGTGTTGCATAATAATTTCACAATTACTGATCTTATAATGTGCTTGCATGAAGATTTTGTAAGTGACCCACAGTGAAGTTTGGTCCCTCACTTTTGCTAAATTGGCCACTCTGTTACCATTTATAAAATTAAGTGCTTAGGATTGGATGTAGTTCTTTCATGAATTGGATTAGAGGTTTATCAGGCCTACGTCTCCATTTTTTTTTTAATGACTGGAAGCAAGACAATACAGGATATATAAGTGAGATACTTCGTACCAAGTAAGATGGTAGGGACAAAAAGAGATACTTAGGGGGGAGAGAGAGAGAGAGAGAGAGAGAGAGAGAGAGAGAGAGAGAGAGAGAGGAGAGATGTTACATAAAACAAAGGTACAAATAGATGAATGAGAGAGAAGAAAGAGATTATGTAAAACATAGGCACAAATAGATGAACTAAAGCAAAACAAATAGCTGCCAATTAGTCCACCTCCAAGCTAAAACTTAAAGATCTACTCTCTTTACACAGACCTACTTGGTATAACAAAGCTTGAATAACAGAATAAGTTTATCATTGTAACCAATAGAAATTGCATCATTGATAGATTTAAGACAACAAATTGAACACAAAGCCCTGTTTTTTTTTTTAGAGAATAATTTGGAATAATAGAAAATGAGGGTCTTAGATCAACTTTCAAATAATTTGTTGATGTAAAAAAATCAACAAAGCTGAAGTCTGTCTTAAGGAAAACCTGTGTTGGTCACATGCTGAGCAAATACTGCTTATCTTTGAGGATTTTAAGAGATTTATAGCTGATAGAGTACAGCTTGTGAAGTGCCTGCCTTGTATATGACCAGTCTGAACTTGACCAGTCTGAACTTGATACCCTTGTGGCCTCCGAGAGCCAGGTATAAGCCCTGAGCACTACTGGGTTTGCCACCCCCCCCCCCAAAAAGGTGGGGGTAGGGCGAAAATAATGTAGATCAATGCAGATATGTGCCTTTGGATAATGTCTGCATTGCATTAATAACAGAATTGTCATCCAAGTAACCTCTATTTTTTTTTTCAGGATTTGTTATTTATTTTTTCTTAAACAACAATCTGACTTTTTTTGCCCTACAAAGTCTTGGGTATTTTTGTTTTTAATTTTGTCATCCTGAAATTGTAAAATTATTCATGATTGGATTTCAGGCATACAATGTTTCAACACCAATCTCTTCACCAGTATCTACTTCCTTCCAACAGTCCCTACCCCCACTCACCTCGGAAGACTCAGCTCAGTAGTATGGTCAGGTGGTGGCCTGACTGTTCAGTAATTAGGGTCAGTGCTTTGGAGTTCATGGCTGGGTGGTGCTGCAGGGCACCAGGGCCATCCCAGCAGTTCTATTGAGGAGCTGTGCAGTGCCAGAAACCAAGCTTAGGCCCTCATACATGCCTAAAGCATGTGTTCTGCTGCTTCATACCAAAACCCCAGACCCACTAATCCTCTTCCTGCTCTTTCACAGTACTCGACCACTCACAGTTTTCTTTCTTTCTGCCTTTGATTCTGGCCATTTTCAGGCTCTTCATTCCTCCCCACACCTCAGGAATAAATATTTGGTCTGCGTGCTCTGCCAACTCCTGTGCTATTCATGTATCTCAGGGGTAGGCAAAAAATATTTTTTCTGTAAATACCAGAGACTATTTTAGACTTCATGGCAGATAATCTCTGTTTATAGCTTTTTACCTTTGCCATTATGGCACAAGTACCACCACAGACAATATTAAAAAGTAAATGGGCATGGCAGTATTTCAAGTAAAAACATGGGGATGGCCCCTCGCATTGCTCGGGGGCCCAGGATCAGAAAATACAGTGCTGCTTCATACTTGGAGATCATCTGAAAGCACTGGGAAAGTCAATAAAAATTTATGTACAAAAACAGGTGGTTCACTGGATTTGTTTGTGGCCTTATGGTGCTTAGTTTATCTTTGAGTTACTAGTGCAGTACAGGCAAAACTTCTGTATATCCCTGTATTTAGTAGGCACTCAGTTTCTTGTGGCTGAAGATTACAGATTGCTCATAGAAAGTTTGCAGTTGTTTGCTGTTTTGGGTTGATTTTCAAGAAATGGTGGGTGCCATCTTGTAACCAGTAGGATACCCCTTCTTGCTATGTATCTAGCCACTCACCTACCCGACTGCAACCCCCTTTTTTTACAAAAAATATTTCTGTATTAATGTAGTTTATAAGGTTGAAGGTCATGTCCAGAGAAGTTATTTATAGAATGCTGTATATTTTATTGATTTTAAAATAACTTTTAAATAGATCTACTTGATTTGATGTATTATATGTAGTAGCATATGAATTCAAAGATATTACAAGGCTTTTTTTTCTTTAATTAAGGTACTGGCATTTGACACATTTGCACCATGCGTGAATATAAGCTTGTGGTTCTCGGCTCAGGAGGCGTAGGAAAATCTGCTCTGGTAAGTCACTCTGTATCTAAGATGATTGCTCTATCACATGTTATTTTTCTGAGTGTAGGTTTATTTGTTTTGGTGAAATCCAATAGTAATTATAGAACAATTTAATGTTTTTCTTGTAATTTTAGTCATCTTTTAGTTATACCTTGATGCATAACTTGGATGTGTAGCATGTGTAGTAGTACTTACAGACTATTCCCCACTCTGCTCGGGACTTGCTCCCTTGGTGATGCTCAGAGCCCCTATGCTAAACCAGGAATTCAAACAGGTCAGTCACGTGCAAAGCCCCTGCACTATATCTTCAGCCCTTTGGCAGGACAAATAATTTCTTTCAAGAACTTTGGTTCCACATGGCATAAGATTCCAGAATAGTTTTGGGTAAGCATAGAGGGTAAGAGCATGTAAATATTTATCTGCATTTCAAAACTATATAGGAATTAATTTCGGACTTTCTCGATGTAACTTGTCTTGTTCTGTGTATCCTACTATAGAAAATACCAATAGAACTTGAAAAATGGGCCACAGAAATGGTACCATGAGTAGGGCTCTTGCACTGCATGCAGCCAACCTAGGTTTGATCCCCAAGCACTGCCAGGAGTGGTTCCTGAGTGCGGAGCCTGGAGTAACCTCTGAGCATTGGCGGATATGCCCCCACCATTTGTTCCCACCCCACCCCCCCAAAAAATAAAGCCTTACAAAAAACATTTTTGTTTTTTGGTCTTTGTGGGTTTTTTTGTTTGGCTTTTTTTTTTTTAATTTTTTTTTATTTAGATTTTTATTAGTGAAACACCATGAGATACAGTTGTAGATTTACAAATTTTTGTGCTTGGGTTTCAGTTATACAATGATCGAATACCCATCCCTCCACCAGTGCCTTTGACCCACACCCTGTGGTGCTCAGGGCTTACTCCTAGCTCTGTTCACAAGTATCACTTCTGACGTGGTTAAGGGAACATATGGGGTCCCAGGGATCAAACCCAGGTTAACCACGTGCAAGGCAAGCACCCTACCTGCTGTACTAACTCTCCAACCCCTGAAAACCATTTTAATTTTGTTTTAGCAACTATGTTTTCACTATTTAGGATTAAGATGAAAAAAAAATTCAAATACTTCTTGACATGAGTAGTGGAAAGAGAAAAAAAAAAACATTGGAAAATAAATTTGAATAGTTCTGGGTTTAGCAAGACTCAAAAACAAGACAGATTGATCATCCTGATACGTTAGTGGCCACGTAGCACAGAACTTAATGTGCTTGCATTAACTTGAGACGTGTGTACAGTGTGAGTACATGGTGTACATGAACTGCTTTTTCACTTGTAAATCTGCCCAGTATTTTGAGTGTGCACATATGTGACAGATAACAATTAGACACTTACTACTAATTAAAATCCAAATTTTAGCCCTTAAGACTGAAAGAGGAAAGTTTCAGGATTTGGGGGAGGGCTTCACCAGATAGTGGGTATGCCTCTCTGTGCTTGGCAGTTTAACCTGGGTCTTCTACAGGCTGGCATTCCCTCCCATTGAGCCATTTCTGCCCCCCATTAGACAGCTTTAACAATGTAATTATAATCTCTAAATCTAAAATTACCTAATTAATTGCATGTTGATTCATGATTGATGAGGGGACACTCCCTATCTCCTCCAGTGTATACAATTAAATATAGTTATTAATGGCATAACTTCTGATATCAAAATTATAGTTTAAAGTGTCCAAATTTGAGTATGCTTTTGTTTGTAGAAGTATAATCATATGTTATTTGATTTCAGACTGTACAGTTTGTTCAAGGAATTTTTGTTGAAAAATATGATCCTACGATAGAAGACTCTTATAGAAAGGTAAGCTACTTTAGAAGTACTTTAAATGAGGACTTGTTTTTTGCTTGATAATGATTGAATGTTGTATACAAAGTAGATTGAAAAAGCATAGTCATTTTATAAAATTAATGGGAATACTTCATACCTGATATTTATATTACGTATTTGCCAGTTTATGAGTATCTTAAACACTTTCATAGTCCCACTCCCCAGGTCTCTTTTTGAAAAAATTGCAAGTTTGTTCTGATATCTAAATTGCATTTGACACACAGAAACTTCATAGCTCAGACTTGATGTGAAGCAGTCGCTCCATGCAGTGCCCCACCCTCTGACTCCTGGTCCTCACACCCCAGTTCCCAAGTCTGCATGCCCACGGTTTCTTCTTTGTAATATGGAGAAATAGCGTAGAAGACTCCCTCACTTAACCTCCTTAAGACTTTTTTTTTTATTAGATTGTTCCTGCGCACAATAGCAAAGTTTGTTTCAGTGTCTCATTAAGAACTCATGACAGAAAACTTAATGATGCGGGCATTTTTAATTTTCCAGAGTTTATCTCTTCTAACTAACTTGGCCCTGCCATTATTTACACACTGTTTTTATTTCCCGCTCCGTCTCTACAAGCTATTGGGGGAAAAGAAATTCTGCAAACCCTTTCCCATGCCCTTTTTTTCCCTCCCCTTTGGTTTTTTTGGCTACACCCAGTGATGCTCAGTAATCAGATATAGGCCTGCTACATGCAAGACTTTAACACTTAAACACTTAAACACTTTACTTTGTCTGCAACGCCCAGATGAAATCTGTTTTTTTTTTATAAAATACTAGGTAAAGGGGGAATAACAAGAGTGTGTATAATTTGATAGCAGTTCACTGCTTCTTTGCTAGAGTATGGCAGAATTGAGATAAAATCACTTCTGGTATTTTTGTAACTATTATTAGCTTTAATTTTTTTACCTTTTTTTTTTTCAAGGTTTTTGAACTCCAGATTTATATTAATTTATATTGAGCTTGGAACTGATAGGTATTCTTGTGTTGAATTAAGAACACATAGGATTTGGGGCAGGAACAATAATAGTACAGCCGGTAGGATGTTTGCCTTGACACAGCAGACTCAGGTTTGAGCCCAGGCTCCCCATATGGTCCCCTAAGACCCATAAGATGTTACTCCCTGAGCACAGAGCCACGAATAAACCCTGACCATCACCAGGTGTAATCTAAATACAACAACAACCAAAAAACAGAACACCCAGATTTTTTACCTGATAACTATTTTGGAGACCTTGGTATTAAAGTACTGTTTTAGAACACTTATAAAACTGTTCTAATCTATTTCTTTTAAATACTGTGTTAGCTTTTGTCTCTGTTATGGATAGACTTGTATACATTTAAAAATGAAACTGATTTTAATTCCTCCCTTCCCCCCTCGCCCCCACAGCAAGTTGAAGTAGATGCACAACAATGTATGCTTGAAATCTTGGATACTGCAGGAACGGTATGTAAATTGAAGTGTCTAATTATGTACGCGATTTGTATATAATTGGTCTTGTAGATGTTAATAAGAAAATACAAATTAAGCTTACTTAAAAGTATTGCTGCATGAAATCTAAAAGAGTTATTTTCTTGAGTGCTACCTTTATTTGTGCTTTGTGATTTTAATGAATGTCTTTGAAGAATTTCATCGTTTTATTCAGTCTTTGAAGAAAAGGGGAAATTTTTTTTTAGTATCATTCATTTAATAATGTTTTGTTCCATGGACTATGTTCTTATCTTCATGTATACAATGTATTAATATATTAAATTTTATACATGTATTAAAGGTGGTTAAGTGAGAGGGTATGAGTGAAATATCTTAGACCTCTTATAGCTAGCACATTGTGAGCTAGCTGTGAATAACTTGGTGGTTCATTTTAAGTGACTACATTATCACGGATTTGTTCCTCCAACCCCCCCCCCCGGAAAAGCTATTCTTTACGTAACTTTTAAACAAAATCTAATACCAGTTTTTCAAGTAGCATCTTGCCATGAACTGTGATTTTACGAAATACTGTCTTTGTTTTTGCTTTTTTACCAATTTTATTTGCATAAAATTGTTCACAGTAATTGATTACATTCAATATTTCAACACCAATTCCACCACCATTACCCCTTCCCTCTACCATTATTTTGAGTTTTCTCACCACCACTAAAGCCTGCCCGACAGGCAGATGCTAAATAATTTATTTTGTATTGCTTGTTAATGAATAGTATAGGATGTCTAAAACTTTAAATAATTGGGGTCCAAGGCATCTCTGTGGTGAGCTGCCGTCTTCTAAGATTCATTCGTGAGTCTCTGGATCTTGACCATTAATGCGCTTAAATGGCACCCAGAGGCAGATCATAGGGGGTGTGACAGCCAGGACACCGGATGGATGGGGAGATGGGAGGAATGGCCCATATCTGCCTCCATATGGCCTGGAGTTTTTAGTCGCTGGTCCCCTGTACCTGGGTTTTTCTTCTGGAGGTTTTTGGCCGCCAGGGTTCATCTAGAGTAGGCGGAGAGAGAGAACACCTGCTCCATCTGAGTCACCCCTGTGAAATCAGCTCAGCTTGGGGTCTGGGGGCATCTCTGTGGCAAGCTGCCATCTTCTGAGATGCATTTGTCTGAAGTACTGTTTTCTTACATTTTAAAATTATCACTACTATTCATTGATCTATAATTCTACAGCAATGATCACAACATAGGTGAAAATACTCTTACCCCAGGGGCAATAGAAAAATCTCTTACTGGAGGGCAGTAGAGATATTGGGTGCCTTAAGTTCTGTGTTTGCTTAAAGAAGGTAGATTTCTAGGAGGGCTTTTGCTTGATTTTCTCTCTCCCCCACTCCTACAGGGGGTGGTAAACCAGTGAAGTTTGGGAATCTCTATTGTAGTTTTTTTAATTATAAAATTATCTGTCAAAATACTGTTTTATTGATTCTTTCTACCACAGGAACAATTTACAGCAATGAGGGATTTGTACATGAAAAATGGACAAGGCTTTGCATTAGTGTATTCCATCACAGCACAGTCTACATTTAATGATTTACAAGATCTGAGAGAACAGATTCTTCGAGTTAAAGACACTGATGACGTAAGCTAACTTTATTTCTAACATTTATTGTAGTGGTAGCCAGTTTAAAGTTTGAATTTAAATTCAGTTTAAAGTTAATGTATTGAGAGGTCATGTTTTAAAAGCTTTTTCCTTGGAAGGTAAAAAGATAGCTTTAATATTCATGCTATTTTTTAAACATACGTGGCAAGTGGAAAATGCCCTCCTTTTACTTTAATGTTTGTAAAATACATTTTTATACTCACTCTATTTTTATTGATGAAGCAGGATCGTTTTTACTGAAACTTACTTAGAAAGATGTGAAAGGAGAGAGAGGAAGTATGAACATGGGCTTCTCCAAAGTGGAAAAGCAGAGAGACATAAGAACAGACAAATAAGATACATGTCCAAGGACAGACACAGGTTTAAAGAGCAAGCTTGTACTCACCCTGTTTTAAATCATCCATTTGACTGGAAGGAAGGATAGATGTTGGGAAAATGAACAAATAAATAATACAAATTGATAAAAAATAATACTTTACCTTACTTCTGACAGATTTTAGAGCTTTTGTTTGTTTCTGGGCCGCGCCCAGGGCATGTTCCTGATTCCATGCTCGGGAATCACTCCTGGCAGTGATTTGGGGAAATGTAGTATCTGGGTTGCTACATGCAAAGCAAGCACCCTACCCACTATACTATCATTGTGGCCTCTTAAGGACCTTTAAATTAAGAATCCAACACATATATGAACACATATCCGACAACTATGACAGAAAAAGATTATGATTTTTAAAAGAAGCCACAAATAATCTAATGTTGATTTCATTTTCCCCTTGGAGTATACCACAATGGAGTTTAGTTCTTATAAGAGACATCAGAAGATTCTTTTATCATCCATTATGTAGCAGTTGTTCTCAAGATTGATCTTGCAGCAGAATCACCTATTGAACTAATAAAAACAGATTGCCAGCTACCACCAAAGTTTCTGAGACATTTATTTTTAAATCTCAGTACATTTGAGATAGAACTCAAGATTTTTTTTTTTCTTTTCAAATAGGAATCAAATCCAGTAGTTAGTGTAAGGGACAATTGATTGAAAACAGAGCTTTGTGCATGCTGAGAATATGCTCTACCATTTGTACTAATTCCATACCCAGTAATCTAATTTTAACAAGTTTCTGGTCTGTGTTGGTGTGCTATCAACTATAGCAGATATTTTGAAATTTTAAGGATACCTATAGTAAATGTTGCCATTTCCTTTTCTTCAAAATCAGGAGAATTTTAAGGGGCCCTATTATATATACAGCAATCTCGATGAACTTTTCTTAGTGAATCTCTTTTCTGCGGTCTGTCTTTGCTACTTCAATATTCTACTAGTTCTATTCTATTTCAATACTTAAACAAAGTACTCTGTCTTTCCCTTAAAAAGTGAAAATGCTTGACTTTCCTTCCAGTTTGGATGTGTTCACCAAAAAGCTTTCAAGAGTTAGTCTCTAAGATATTTTGAGTTTTGCAGAATAAGTATCATTTTTCTCTATATTGTCCTTTTGAAATTAAAAATATCACATGTGTTCGAATACATGACTAATAAGTAGTCTAGCTTTTTTGGTAAATTAAGATGATTTAATTTTCTGACTTTTGTATTTTTGGCTTGCTTGTCTGTGTTTGTGGGCTATTCCTGTTCCTGACTCAGCACATAGGGATAGAATCTATTGAGCTATGCTATCTCCAGTCTCTTCTTGGTTTTGTTTTGGTTTTGGGTTTTGTTGTTGTTGTTGTTGTTGTTGTTGTTGTTGTTGTTTGCTTTTTGGGTCACACCTGGCTCTGCACTCAGGAATCATTCCTGGCGGTGCTCAGGGAACCATGCGGGATGCTGGGAATTGAACCCCGGTTGGCCGCATGCAAGGCAAATGCCCTACCAGCTGTACTATCGCTCCAGCCCCTCTTTCTTTTTAATACAGACTGTTCGGGAAACCAAAAACTCCTTTTGAGGCTTTCCATGATTTTCCCCTTTTTTTTCAGGGAGAATGGGGGGCCAATTTTTGTGCCACACCCAGCAGTACTTAAGGGCTGCTTATTCCTAGCCCTAAGCATCGGGGTCTCTACTGGCAGTGCTGGGAGACTGTATATGATACTGGAAATCGATTGGGGTTGGTTGTATGCAAGGAAAGCCCCTTGTACTATCTCTCTAGCTTTATTTCTCGTTATGTTACAAAATTGAGAATGATTATCTGATAAATGCATGCCAGGAAATCAGTGAAGTTGGAATTACATCTCATCCCTGGAAAAACATTTTAGATTTTTGGCTTTTCACAGTAGCACCTTCTAAAAATGGTGATATGAGTTTTGTGAGGAAGGCTTCCCAAGCTGTATGAGAATGAGAGGACCATGTACTGAACTAGCGTAGGTTGCATGCAAATCAGGTGCCTTACCCCTGTCCTTTTTCTGTATTGGATAGTGTGGGCCACTTCCTGCAATGGCCAGAGGCCACTCCTGTTTCTTGGTTAGGAGTGATATCTGGCAGTGCTCAGGAGACCATATGTGGTGTCAGGGGATCAAACCAGAGTTGACCAGAGAGGCTTCATGCGAGACCAAGTGCCTTACTTCTTGTACACTCTGTCCAGTACACCTCCTATACTTCCTTCTTAAATGGTTTTGTGATTTTCTTACAAGTTAAAAATGTATTGACATGATGATTTTAAAGTATTTTTTAAATCTCATAAGCAAATCTTATTTTTTTTCTGAAAAGTTCATGAGATTTAAGAACTAACAGGTTCTTAAATCTAAAAACTTTGTTACAAGTGACTAATATGTTTTTTACCTTGATATAATATGTAAAAAAAAGTCCTGAGGTTTGGCTCTTAGAATAGCTTTTTATTTTAATTCATATAGTACGTTTCTATTTATCCTTTTCAAAATGTTATTTTTAGGTTCCAATGATTCTGGTTGGTAATAAGTGTGACTTGGAAGATGAAAGAGTTGTAGGAAAGGAACAAGGTCAAAATCTAGCAAGACAATGGAACAACTGTGCATTCTTAGAGTCCTCTGCAAAATCAAAAATAAATGTTAATGAGGTATGGTGTATGGTGATATATGTTTTTCAAGAAATCTTCATTGGGAATTTAACATTCAGAATTAATGAAAAATGATGGTTATATTAACACAGCCCCAAATTAATCTGTACTCTGGGTGTTTTGTTGATTTTATAAGCAAAACAAAACCTTGTATTAGCTACATACATATTGATAAGCATTGATCCTACTTTTTATGCTGGTACAATGAAATTTACTATGAATAAGACTGGATAGAATATGATATATAGGTGGAGAAGACATTATCTTCCGGAATAAGAAGCATGTTGTGTCAATGACGAGACAAATTGAAAAGGGCATCTATGATCCTTGGCTTAAAGGATCTTAAAGTAATGTTAATGTTATAGAACCAGATACATAGTTTTGAAAAAAAGTAGTTCGTTTGGATGATGGTAAACATTTAAGTAAACTAGGATAAAATCCCTGCAACTCCTTCAAACAATAATTACAAAGAAGTTTTCGCTTTCTCAAAAAATAAGCAACTGAAAAAGATCTTAGCAGTTAGAAGAATACATGATTTCAACTCTTGTCTCCTTACCTGTACAGAACACTTGCTTTCTGGGGTTCATATGTAACAATAGAAATCAGTTTTAATTTTATATTTTTGTTACTTTAATTTTACTCCTATAAATTTTTGAAAATCAATATGTTTGCAGATCTTTTATGACCTAGTGCGGCAAATTAACAGAAAAACTCCAGTGCCTGGGAAGGCCCGCAAAAAGTCCTCCTGTCAGTTGCTTTAATACACGAAATGCATTGTAGCTCTGAGCCAGGTATGTGTATTTACCTTTTCCTGTAGATTTTTTTCTTAACCACAACTTTATTAAAGACATTGCCAAGAGAGCAAGTATAGAATTTTATGTTGTTGTTAAAAAAAAAAAATGCTGCCTTTTGTAGATATTTTTGAGTTAGTGTGATGTACTATTCTTTAAAATAATTGCTTTGTGCCAGAGAGAAAGCAGATAAAGCACTTGCTTTGCACACTGCTGATGCTGGGGATTGCACACTGCTGATGCTGGTTCAATCCCCAGCACCACATACAGTCCCCCAAGCCACACCAAGTGTGCTCTCTGAGCACAGAGCCAGAAGTAAGCCTTAAAGCACAGTGAGGTATCACCAAAAAAAAAAAATTATGAATGTTACTAACATGCCATCATCAGAACATATGTTACCTAAGTGATTATTTTAATTCATCTAATGTATACTATTGCCTCATGAGATCCTGATTAACAATACAATGATAAACTATACCAATCTTTTCTGATTGCTTTAAACTATTGTCACTCCATATTACAGTTGAGGAAACTGAACTAAGTAAATGATAAAAAATATTATTATTTATTCAGGTCTATGGAAAATAGCAGGGCTAGAGTATGAATCCAGGCATACTTGTCCCCAAGTCCATGCTTAGTCACTATGTTGTTAGGAGTACTGTAAGTTTTAGCTGGAGCAACTCGCTATCAGATGTGAACTGTGATTTCAAGAAAAGCCAGTCAGAGTAAGAGACACCAAGACCTGTGATCTGAAGAATAAGTATTGGGGATAGAGAGTTAGCAGACAGAGAGACCATACAGCCCAGCTATGAGGCAGCAGTGGGAAAAAATACTGAACTTGCTACTTTTCAGAGGGGACGAGGGGGATTCACCTGACTATGCTCAGGGATCATTTGCAGTGCGTGTAAGAGGGACTTAAACCCCTGTACTTACTATCTCTCAGGCCCTACATTTTTGCGTAGTATTTTAAAAAATAATTTACTGCATTAATACTTGAAAAGCAGTTAAATTCATACTTAAAACATGGTAAACCTTCCTGCTGTTTAGCAATAACAATGACATTCTACTTCGTTATCATTAACCCATTATTTTATTGCTCTCTCATCCTTGGAAACTTTAGGTGTCTATTTCTCTGCTTCTTATGTTAAATCTCCCTATAGCACCTCCCCTTTATTTAAAACAAAAATCATTGTATTCAAAGTTACTACCACCCTCTGGGTCATTCTAGTGCCCCTCAGGTGGAATGGTATCACTTACTTAGAGAAACACTGACTTAAGGCTTTTTCTTTAGAGATACAGCCTCTATAATTTCTGATAATCCTTTCATTCCTGACCACATGCCTGTTCTTAGTAGCACACATGTGCCTGAGCTCACATAATCCATCTGGTCTTTTCAATTTGCTACATTCTGCTTAGATGAAGAATATTCAGCACCTCATTGAGACTAATTGAGGGCGTAAAAGTCAAAAGGGTTTATCTAAAACTTTGTTGTGGTGACCGGAAAGATAGTATCTCAAGTAAGGTGTTTGTCTTGTATGTGGTTGACCTGGATTTGGTGCCTAGCACCCCATTTGGTCCCCTCAGCCCTGTGCACAGCTGGTTATCACTTCCAAAAATTAAGTCATACTTTTTTGACTGAAAGGAAATTACTCAAAAAAGATGGAACTGTCTACGTTGGCTATGCTGTGGTACTTTGTCATCAATAGTGAAACAGGGACAAGAGCCTATATTCATTTCTGTTACTTTGACCATTGCCTTAAAGTGCTTTGTGTCTGTGTTTTGCGTTTTAAACCTGTTCTCAGTTAACTCTTTTCCTTTTGACAGGTCTGAAGAACTGTTGCCCAATTCAACAGTGCCAGCATTCCAACTTTATTAAACCTACCAACATCTTACATGGACTTTCCTGTGGTGGTACCCTTTAAGAGGCGGATCTACATCTGTTTGCACATTCTAATCACTTTCCAGTATCACAAGAGAGATTTTTACTTATATAATAGTCCTAGAGTATGCAACTGGTCAAACCAGAGGCTACAATCCAGTATTACTGCTAAGAGACATTTTTCATCCAACGATGTTGTACATGTCTGAAAATGGTGTACTGTATACTTTAACATGCCCCATACTTTGTATTGGAGAGTACAATAATGTAAATCCTAAAAGCACCACTATTTTAGCATAATAAAAGAAAGTCCAAAGAGCTCCTATATAGACTACTCCAGATAACTTTGCTTCTTTGATACTTGTAGCTTATTGTAATTTTTTTTAAGAAATTCAAGGTCATTATCATTGTATTGTACAAATAAGCGCTTTGATTAACACAGCTATATAGTTTTTTTAATTTTTAAAAAACCTGTGGAGACAGTGATCTTGTCTTTAAAATATGATAGTCCTTTCAGTATAATGTCTTAGATTAAAGACGTTGCCTTTAATATCTGTTGGGAAGGAAATGTCCAGACTTTTCAAATCTCTTATTATATGTTTCCTTTTTTTGTTTACATAGGGAACAATGTTTATAGTTGTGTGTACAGTGGGGGTCTACAACAAGAAGTGTATATTTTCAAACAGTTTTTTAATGATTTGACAATTTTTGTAAATCATTTTCAGGCTTCTGCAGCTGTAGATTCTCACTGTGAATCCCTTGCTTGCTCACGCATAAGTGTATTTGCAATACCAAATATACAGGTTTAGTACTTTTGCCTGTTAGTGATTGTTTCACATGTGTAACGTTTTGGTTGAGATGTTAAATGGTGGAAGAGTACTGTGGATGTGAATGTGGGAAGTAATTTTAATCATGTGTAATTGGTTACAAGGCCTAAGTTGCAGTATCTATTGCTGTTTTATTTAACAATGCCTTGTTGCTTTGTATGCATTAACGTTTGGGTGTAAAGATTGTGTGTCTATCCAACAGGGAGCCACAGTATTTAAATTGACCAACCTAATGTTACAACTACTTGGAGGTGGCCAAATGTAAACTAAAAGCCTTAATTAAAGTGGTGCAATTTTGTATAACTTAGCATCAGTAGTTCAATAAATTTGGATTGCCATGCAAGGGCTTGCATTATAATTACTTGCCACTTGAATGTGTTTGTGTAATGTTTAATAGTGCTAGTCAATAAATATGGGTTTAACTTCTTTTTAAATGTAATAGGTGCATTTTACACAGTGTAATTTCATAATTTAACATTTTGGGTAAGCCAGACTCATTAATTACAGGAATGATAAGTGAAAGATGTTCGTTTTGGTTGGGTTTTTTTGTTTCTTATTTGTTTTAAACTAATACTGTTGGAATATCCACTTAGTCTCTTTTAAAGTTTCTTCTTGGGAAAGAATTTTGTAAATCAAGCAATATTATTTATGAATATATGCCTTCTGGGTAATATTCAGTAGCTCTTTAAGGTGAAGGAGGAAATATTGAAAATACCTTGACAAATGTTATGCTTACAGATTTTTTTAAAATACAGGATGAAGTTACTTAGAATATTATGGCTATAAAAATATTTGAATGAAGTGGACTCAGTATTACTTTTTTTAGATATTAGATATGTCTGTCTTATGTGTGCTATAATTCCATTCTTTTTTACAAGTTATAAACAAGTTTCAACTCAAGTTTGCGCAAACTAATTGCCAGCCACTAGAGGATACCTGCAACTAATTATTGATTCCTATAATATAAGGCACCTGCTAATCCCCCAAATATGTGCTATTTGAATGGGACATTTAAAGACTTTTTTTTTCTTACATGCTTAAACCCAAAGTTCCACGTTTAAGGAATCTGCGTGTATATCTGAAGAAAAAAAGTGTTTTCCCTGAAATCTATTTAACTGGAAGATTTGTTTTGGCATATAAATGGTTTTATTTATCTTCTCTAGGAAAATATTAAACCTGCCAAAGTGAAACGTGGAGCACTAAAACTAATTTACTATATCCTGTTTATGCATCTGACCCCCCCCTTTGTGGGGACCCTCATTAATTCAGTTCCTTTAATAAATGTTTGTTGCCTACCAGCTGTGTATCAGGTTCTTAAAAACATAAATATTTATTCAAAATAATAAATTTAACTACTCATGTCAAGCATTGTTGCAGGTTTAAGGATATAGTAACAAACAGATCAATTGCTAGAATTTATCATTTATAATTTAGGGTATCTCAACCAGAGCTGTTAGCATTTTGTACTAGATGATGAGTTACTTTTTATTTTTATGTCACTGGGCACTGCTCGGGGCTTATTCCTGACTCAGTGCTCAGGGGGCCACATTGGGTACCAAGGATTGAACCTGAGTCAGCCACTTTTAAGGCAAATGCCTTACCTGCTATATTTCTTGCTCCAGACCTGCATTATTTGGTTTTTAACGCCATCTCCTATCTTTACCCACTAGATGCCAGAAATACCACCTCTGACCCCAAATATGACCACTGAAGCGGTCTCCAGATAGGGGCAAAATCCTCGAGTTGGATTGATAAACTTAGGCAAGGGGGTTAAGCAAAATCTATCTAGAAGATCCCAGTGATCTGGTAGGGAAATAACACAAATTATAGATAAGTGTGTAAGGGGTACAAAACAGTTTATCATACAGAATATGGTTGTGGGCTCTAGGGTCTGGAGAGATAGTGTAGGGGTTAAGGTGACTGTCTTACATGCTGACAACACTGGTTTAATCCCCAGTAACTTATCTGGCCCCCTGAGTACTGCCAGGTATGTGCCCCGCCACCCCCCAAAAAAAATTACTCTAGGTTCTAAAACCACATTTTCTGTATTTCCTGAGAGCTTGTTTGGAGGTTCTAGCAGAGAAGCACAGCCACTCGTATACCCTTTACCGAAGAACAGACCATCTGTATTTGGGGAAGGCCATCCTCTTTGAGCAGTGAGAGAGGACACTAGCCAGCCAAATGAGCTGAATCAATCCTGACCGTCAGTGGGGTGACATGTCGCAGCCAAACGCCTTCACTTCCTTTTTTCTGTATTTCTAATCCGAGCTTTGCCACTGCCTTTTTGGACACTGGTTACATAGTGCTAGTTCCCTATTTATGTAAAGGGAACAATAATTCTGTTTCATAGGAGTTAGAGAATGAAATGACGGAAATGCCAGTACCATCCTCCGGGTCACTGGTTTTTTGTTTTGTTGGGTTTTTTTTTTTTGTGTGTGTGTGTGTGTGTGTGTGTGTGTGTGTGTGTGTGTGGCCACCCAGTGGTACTCAGGGCTTCTGGTGATGCTTGGGAGACCGTATGTGACCCTATGCAGTACCAGGGATCAAAGCACCCACTGTACTAGTGCTCTGGTCCAAGACTAATGCTTAATCAAATTAAATCTGCGGTTTGACAGAAAGCTCTATTGTTTCCCATACTACTGTCATTATAACTGCAATTTAAGAATTAACACAGATTATGTGTAAATTGAGTGCTAAATTAAAAAAAAATACTAAGTAAAAAAGTCACAGCAACAGAGGATGTGGCTTAATGGTAGAGCACCTGTCTAATATGTGAGGTGAGGCCCAGGCCTTTGTTTCAGTATCCAGCTTGACATTTTGCCAGTTTTCTAAAAAGTATAAAATCTCCGTTTTGACTAAACGCTTTTAGAAGGGGGCATGGGCACATCCGAGCATGCTCAGGGGTATCTCGTGAGTCTGCACTCAAGAATATACTCCTGGCAGTGCTGGCCTGAGGGTGTGGATGGTGGAGGGGTGGTGGGGAGAGAGCTCATACAGGATTCTGAGGATCCAATCCATGTCAGCTGCATGTAAGACAAGCACCCTGCCTGCTGTACTATCTATCACTGTAGCCCCCTAAACATTTTTGGGGGTGGGCCACACCTGGCTGTGCTCAGGGCTTATTCCTGGCTCTGCACTCCAGGATCACTTTTGATGGTGCTCAAGGAACCATATGAGATGCCAGGGATCAAATCCATGGTGGCTATGTGCAGGGCAAACACCCTATCCGCTGCACTATCTCTCCAACCCCTTTATATCTTGTTTTGTTTGGGGCCCACTCCCAATGAAGCTTAGAACTTACTCCTGCATCTTCACCCAAGGATCACTGCTGATGGGTTGAGGGGACCATATAGAATGCCAGAGATAAAATCAGGTCAAGCTGCATTGTGTAAGGCAAGTACCCTACACACTCTACTGTTTATCCAGCCCTATAAACGTTTTTCTTTAACTATATCATCATTAGTAGTTGTGAACATGTGAGTTGAACATTTGGAAATTAAGATTCGTGAAATTGTTTACTTTTCTTTTTGATCTCATCTTTAGATGTTGGACAACAAACCTAGAATCAAAACTTATTATTGCAGTGCTTTTTAGTTTAGAAATAGTCAAGCAAATTTTCATGAATTTATTTGCCATCTTTTATTCTATCTCCTTTAAGGGAAATGAAAGAAGTAATTAATGTCTTTAATACTCCTACAAGCTCATTTAAGAAATATTGGTGTTTACTGACAACATCAATGTAAGCCATAACAAACTGTTACATTCATTACTTTTTAAGTGTGGTTGAGACAGCATAAAGAACTGGGGCACCTTCCTGGCATTCACAGTCCTAGGTTTGATCCCTGTCTCCTCACAGTTCTCCGGGTACCACTCAGTGTAGCCCTGGTGGCTCCCAGCACTGCTGAGGATACCCTCCAGAGATTATCAGAAATTTTCAATTGTTCTGTAATGTGTTGGCAGTGCATCCCTGTATTTGCAATTTTAAGAATGCCTAATAAGGGGCAGAGATACCACAAGTTGCTTATCTTGCATATGGCCGACCTGGGCTCCAATTCCCGGCATCCCATGTGGTCCCCTAAGCACCACCAGGAGTGATCCCTAAGTATTGCTGAGTGTGTCCCTGCTTCAGCTTTCCCCTATCCCCCCAAAACAAAACAACAACAAAAAATACCTAAGAGAGGGCCTAGAGAATTAGTGCAGTGGGCAGAGTACTTGTGGTGCATGTGCCCGACTTTCAGTTTCAGCACCTCGTGTGATCCCGTGAGCCTGTCAGGAGTGAATTCTGAGTGCAAAACCAGGAGTAAGTCCTAAGCACTGCCGAGCATGGCCCCGAAACAATGCATAAAAGAATTGTAGATTGAGAGAGTAGTTCATTCATTGAGGATAGTTGAATTTATGTTCCCTTAACTGACATTGAAAAATGCATGAATATAATAATTATATATACCTGTTAAGATAGGGTATTTAGCCTATTGTCAATAGGAGCTACTGAATGGGTAGGCTTGGTAACGAACTGGTCGGACATAGGCTCAGTGGACTGAACATAACTTTGATGCAAGGGACACATGATCCTCCAAGCATCACAAGGAGTAGCACCCAGAAGTGTGGCGACAAAATAAAAGACTGAAAGATAGGGATAAAATACTTTTTGCCCTTAATAGGTTTTCTAAATGCATGTTTTAAAGGATTCCACATGTTGCATATACTTCAATCTTGCTTCCTTAAACCATCTTTGTTAATGACCTACGTACTGCTAGCTTTAAGAATTAAGGTTTTTTGGCCAGAATAAAAGAGAAAGCTCAATGGGCTTTTTTTTTCTTTTAAATGTAGGAGTACTGGTATTTATTCAACCATTGATTAAGCTGATTGAATTAAGCATGAACTCCACATTTCTTTTTTTTTCCACATTTTTTTTTTTTAACGTTTTTAACTGGGCTGGAGCCATAGCACAGTGGTAGGGCTTGCATGCGGCCAGCTCGGCCAACCCGGGTTTGATTCCTCTGCCCCTCTCAGAGAGCCCGACAAGCTACCGAGAGTATCTGGCCCACACGGCAGCAAAGTCTGGCAAGCTACGTGTGATATATTTGATATGCCAAACACAGTAACAAGTCTCACAATGGAGATGTTACTGGGCCCACTTGAGCAAATCAATGAACAACAGGAGGACAGTGCTACAGTGCTACATTTTTAACTGAATATCCATGAGATAGACCATTACAAAGCTGTTTATAATTGGATTTTAGTTATACAATGATCCAGCACCCATCCCTCCACCAGTGTACATTTCCCTACCACCATCCCCCAACACCCCACCCCCAGCCTCCCTTTATGGGAGGCACTTTCCTTCTTGCTCTCTCTCTCCCCTTTTCCTTTTGTGCATTATGGTTTGTAATACAGGTGCTAAGAGGTCGTGGTGTTTGTTCAGGGTTCAGTATTTTTATTGGGATGGTAAGGCTAGTAGCTTTTCAATTGGCTGGCAGCATTGGGGTGTGGAAGTGACTGCTGAGGTTTCCGGAAGTTCAGGGAGTGGTGGGAGGGGAGGTAGCCCATCCCAACCCCTGGAATGCCTGGAGATTTCAGTCATAAACCCACATGCCAGAATTTTCAGCACATTATATCTTGGTGAGTTTCGTCCTGAGTTGGTGAAGTCAGGCTGAGGGTATGGTGTCGATTTTGGATTATGGGAACAAGCGACTGCCAGGGGCTCTGGGCAAGCACCAGACCAACCCACCCCCCTCCGATTTACCCCAGTCTCCAGCCTTGTGCGAGTCCAAGATTAACAGACTTGATCTCTTGAGATTTTACT